CTTCCTATATATATCTATATTTATAGTTTTAAGAACACACTAGCGTGTATTTAGGTGAAAAGACATCTACTTTGGTTCCCAAAGTTGGGCTTGGGACCAATTATGGGTCATGAAGCACCTTGGATAATCTCCAGAAATCAATTTAAAGGGTAATAAAATAATTGCTGATGTAATATTTTCCCTATAATTATTACAAAAACACAAAAAAGTATAAATAAGTATTTATATTTGTGTACAAGCTGTTTAGATTGTCAAAAAGCCTGTGTTTTTAGGGTTATTAACATAGTTCATGTACTCAGACCAGTAATATTTGGGGTCACAAGTTTTTGCCATGAATATTTTGTGGGTCAGAAGATAAAAAGTTTGGGAACCACTGGTAAAGACCATAGGACAGAAAAAAATGGCATAAAATGAAACTAAAACAAGTTGTTAGAAGTGTTTAATAGCCCAAAAGTATTGACAAAATGTGTCACCATTTCAGTTTGATAGTTTAAGGCTGTTAGATGCCTTTTTATTTCTCAAGAAGCAATTGATTATGATTCATAAACACACAAAACATATAAATAACACATGCCATTAACATGTCTGAAAAGGTGAAGTAAAACTTATTTAATCCTACCCTCTCTAAAACACTCTATAATTACACTTAACATTCATCTGGTTTTCAGAGTCTTCTAAGTTTATGAGAGGAAAATCCCCCCCACCTCCTGCAGCACTCCAAAATGTCTATGAAAGAGCTGTGTCAGCCCAAACAACTATGAAAGTCAGACCACAGGGACCAAGTAAAATGCAGGAGATCCACCCACCACCCCAGTACAGCCTGACCTATCCACATACAGTACATACCCCCACACAGAGCATACAGTCACTCATCCTATACACAGCATCTGAAACGCCCAGGTTCACCTCAGATTATTATCCCTGTACTTGTTAAAAATCCTCAGTCTTTTCTTGATCAAACTCATGTTTGGACATTGCTTCAGTTCATGGTTGAGTTTGTTCCAGACCCTTACACCACTGAGGGCCACATTCTTTTCATAGCTGTTCGAACACTCCTGGTTCTGAAGTTAAAGTTTCCCCTGTAATCATAACCCCCAACTCTTTCTTCGTAAAAGGTTTCTGTATATTATCTGGTAGTTGTTTCTAGCTTTATACATGAGTTAAGCTGTTTGAAATTCTACCAGATCTGTGAGTTTTAATAAGCAGGAGTTTATAAATGACTCACTAGTGTGATCCTGGAAGCCTGCCTTATGAATCATTCTGATGGCTCTTTTCTGGAGAGTGCACAACAGGCGGAGTGAGGATTTGTAGGTGTTTCCCTAAACTTCCACACAATAATTCAAATATGGCAAAATAAGTGAGCAATAAACAATGTGTAATGCTTTATTATTCAAAAAATATCTAGCTTTACTGAGGACTGAGATACTTCTTGGTACTTTTGCTTGAACATATTGAAAACGAGGTTTACAGCAGATTTTGTGGTCCATCATCCCACCAAGAAACTTAATATCATTAACTCTGTCTACATATACACCCTCAATTCCTATTTTTAAATCTCTGTTCACTTTATAATTTCCAAACAACATAAACTTATGTCCTGATGCATCTCAGTAATCCAGGTAAAAAATCAAAAGGAAAAAAAATTGTA